GGTTGGGCCGATTCAACTCGTGGGTCGACCGGGCCTACGCCCAACCCTACTCTCCAACACATTTCATTGCCCCAAGTTTGCCCCTTTTTTTCACGTTGATATTAAAAATAATAATAATAATAATACTAACCACCTTTGATACCCCAAAGTTCCAACCCATTTCACTTTGGTAACCCAGTCCATATTTTCTGCAGATTCTCTCTTAAATTAATATCACATGCTTAGCAAGTGCTACCCATCCACTGCTACCGAGAACATTTGATTGTTTAGATAACCAAATTGCAATACAAAAATACCAGAAAATCTAACTGGGTTGGGGGTACCAAAGTGAATTGAAACTTGAAAAATTCTAATCAATTACACTCCTTTCAGTACCAATTTCCATACTGAGGGTAAAAAACTAGAGAAAAAAAACCCGTAGTTTTCCCAAATATTTTACCTTCATAGAGAGAAAGACGTGATCTTGCCGCTGGAGCTCAGCGAGAACCGCAAGCAAATCGGTCCTCAGGAGGCGAGAGACGTGAGACTTCATGAATCGCTCGAGTTTCGGCCCAGATCCCAATCTCTTGATCTCGTGGACGACGAAGAGCCCCTCTTTTCCCATCTCCTTCTTCCTCCTCCAGATCGAGAGGCTAGGGCTTGATGCTGATGATGAGGAGGAGGAGACGGCATCGCGATGGGTTGAGAGAATTGAAGCTAGGGTTTTGACGAAGAGATTAGGGTTTTGGGTTCGTGTGAGTTTGTTTAAAGCGGACCGAAACATTTCGTCGTCGTCGCAGAGGAGAATGGGGCTTAGGAAAGCAAATGCGGAAGGGTTTTCGGGTCCTAAGAATGATCCGACCCGGTAATACCCGGACCCACAATAGGGAAGGACTAATAGAGTAATAGTAGGAAAAATGATAGGGGCACACCCCCGACCACACCCCCTCTCTCATATGCTACAGTATACCGGGTCCCATATGGAATTTTAAAATGCCCCCAACCACACCCCCTCTCTCATATGCTATAGTATACCGGGTCCCACATGGGGTTTTAAATTTTAAAATCCCATGTGGGGCCCGGTGTACTGTAGCATATGAGAGAGGGGGTGTGGTTTGGGAGGTGGTTAGGGGTGCGCCCCTAATGTCACCCGTAATAATATTCATTACTTGCAAAAAAAAAGTAAGTAATCAAGGAGGAAAATGGGCTTTTCCCATGTATTAGTCCCTTATATCTTGAATAATTGCATATGAGTCCCTCAAATATTATAGACTATTGCAAAGTGGTCCCCTTTAGTTAACTAATGTTAGATTTGAGGGGAATATTTTCTTAAATCTAACAGTTGGAGGCGAAGCGACTTTTTTTACCCCTTTATTAAATCCAGCAATGCATTTACTAATGGGTAAACTTGAATACCTATTTCAAATAAAACTCAAATTCCACTTGATTTCTCTTCCTTGGCGATTAGAGAAGAAGCCTGACCTAAAGTGCTTCACCATAAACATAATCCTCTTAAATATGTACAATCCTCTTAAATTTCTCCTCTAACCTATCTATAAACTTCGATCTCCTCCAATGTTTTTAAAATGACATAAAGGATTTTTAATATTCATAGATATTGGATTATGAGTTAACCAATGATACCGGTGTATCTTCTCTGTTTCGAAAACTTAGCGATCCTCATGGGAGCTTGAGGATAGAGGATTCTCATGGTAGCTTGAGAATAGAAGCTTGGAAAATATTGTTGGCGAATGTGGACTGGTTTGTGCGACTTGTTGACTTTTTTGTTTTGATGATGTTTAACAAACAATTACTACTAATGTTGTTTGTCTAGTGTTTGTATTTTTGTATTTATTATAGACAAACAATATGTTGGAGGTTTGATGGAATTGCGCTTCAATGATCATATCCAATGAAGGTTGGCGGAATAGTGGAGTGAAGCAATACAATAAGGAAGGACTAATAGAGTAATAGTATTCATTACTGGCAAAAAAAGTAAGTAATCCAGGAGGAAAAGGGGTTTTTCCCCATATATTAGTCCCTTAAATCTTGAATAATTGCATATGAGTCCCTCAAATATTATAGACTATTGCAAAGTGGTCCCCTCTAGTTAATTGATGTTAGATTTAAGGGGAATATTTTCTTAAATCTAACAGTTGGAGGCAAAGCAGCTCTTTTTACCCCTTTATTAAATCCAGCAATGCATTTACTAATGGGTAAACATGAATACCTATTTCAAATAAAACTCAAATTCCACTTGATTTCTCTTCCTTGGCGATTAGAGAAGAAGCCTGACCTAAAGTGCTTCACAATAAACATAATCCTCTTAAATATGTACAATCCTCTTAAATTTCTCCTCTAACCTATCTATAAACTTCGATCTCCTCCAATGTTTTTAAAATGACATAAAGGATTTTTAATATTCATAGATATTGGATTATGAGTTAACCAATGATACCGGTGTATCTTCTCTGTTTCGAAAACTTAGCGATCCTCATGGGAGCTTGAGGATAGAGGATTCTCATGGTAGCTTGAGAATAGAAGCTTGGAAAATATTGTTGGCGAATGTGGACTGGTTTGTGCGACTTGTTGACTTTTTTGTTTTGATGATGTTTAACAAACAATTACTACTAATGTTGTTTGTCTAGTGTTTGTATTTTTGTATTTATTATAGACAAACAATATGTTGGAGGTTTGATGGAATTGCGCTTCAATGATCATATCCAATGAAGGTTGGCGGAATAGTGGAGTGAAGCAATACAATAAGGAAGGACTAATAGAGTAATAGTATTCATTACTGGCAAAAAAAGTAAGTAATCCAGGAGGAAAAGGGGTTTTTCCCCATATATTAGTCCCTTAAATCTTGAATAATTGCATATGAGTCCCTCAAATATTATAGACTATTGCAAAGTGGTCCCCTTTAGTTAACTAATGTTAGATTTGAGGGGAATATTTTCTTAAATCTAACAGTTGGAGGCGAAGCGACTTTTTTTACCCCTTTATTAAATCCAGCAATGCATTTACTAATGGGTAAACTTGAATACCTATTTCAAATAAAACTCAAATTCCACTTGATTTCTCTTCCTTGGCGATTAGAGAAGAAGCCTGACCTAAAGTGCTTCACCATAAACATAATCCTCTTAAATATGTACAATCCTCTTAAATTTCTCCTCTAACCTATCTATAAACTTCGATCTCCTCCAATGTTTTTAAAATGACATAAAGGATTTTTAATATTCATAGATATTGGATTATGAGTTAACCAATGATACCGGTGTATCTTCTCTGTTTCGAAAACTTAGCGATCCTCATGGGAGCTTGAGGATAGAGGATTCTCATGGTAGCTTGAGAATAGAAGCTTGGAAAATATTGTTGGCGAATGTGGACTGGTTTGTGCGACTTGTTGACTTTTTTGTTTTGATGATGTTTAACAAACAATTACTACTAATGTTGTTTGTCTAGTGTTTGTATTTTTGTATTTATTATAGACAAACAATATGTTGGAGGTTTGATGGAATTGCGCTTCAATGATCATATCCAATGAAGGTTGGCGGAATAGTGGAGTGAAGCAATACAATAAGGAAGGACTAATAGAGTAATAGTATTCATTACTGGCAAAAAAAGTAAGTAATCCAGGAGGAAAAGGGGTTTTTCCCCATATATTAGTCCCTTAAATCTTGAATAATTGCATATGAGTCCCTCAAATATTATAGACTATTGCAAAGTGGTCCCCTCTAGTTAATTGATGTTAGATTTAAGGGGAATATTTTCTTAAATCTAACAGTTGGAGGCAAAGCAGCTCTTTTTACCCCTTTATTAAATCCAGCAATGCATTTACTAATGGGTAAACATGAATACCTATTTCAAATAAAACTCAAATTCCACTTGATTTCTCTTCCTTGGCGATTAGAGAAGAAGCCTGACCTAAAGTGCTTCACCATAAACATAATCCTCTTAAATATGTACAATCCTCTTAAATTTCTCCTCTAACCTATCTATAAACTTCGATCTCCTCCAATGTTTTTAAAATGACATAAAGGATTTTTAATATTCATAGATATTGGATTATGAGTTAACCAATGATACCGGTGTATCTTCTCTGTTTCGAAAACTTAGCGATCCTCATGGGAGCTTGAGGATAGAGGATTCTCATGGTAGCTTGAGAATAGAAGCTTGGAAAATATTGTTGGCGAATGTGGACTGGTTTGTGCGACTTGTTGACTTTTTTGTTTTGATGATGTTTAACAAACAATTACTACTAATGTTGTTTGTCTAGTGTTTGTATTTTTGTATTTATTATAGACAAACAATATGTTGGAGGTTTGATGGAATTGCGCTTCAATGATCATATCCAATGAAGGTTGGCGGAATAGTGGAGTGAAGCAATACAATAAGGAAGGACTAATAGAGTAATAGTATTCATTACTGGCAAAAAAAGTAAGTAATCCAGGAGGAAAAGGGGTTTTTCCCCATATATTAGTCCCTTAAATCTTGAATAATTGCATATGAGTCCCTCAAATATTATAGACTATTGCAAAGTGGTCCCCTTTAGTTAACTAATGTTAGATTTGAGGGGAATATTTTCTTAAATCTAACAGTTGGAGGCGAAGCGACTTTTTTTACCCCTTTATTAAATCCAGCAATGCATTTACTAATGGGTAAACTTGAATACCTATTTCAAATAAAACTCAAATTCCACTTGATTTCTCTTCCTTGGCGATTAGAGAAGAAGCCTGACCTAAAGTGCTTCACAATAAACATAATCCTCTTAAATATGTACAATCCTCTTAAATTTCTCCTCTAACCTATCTATAAACTTCGATCTCCTCCAATGTTTTTAAAATGACATAAAGGATTTTTAATATTCATAGATATTGGATTATGAGTTAACCAATGATACCGGTGTATCTTCTCTGTTTCGAAAACTTAGCGATCCTCATGGGAGCTTGAGGATAGAGGATTCTCATGGTAGCTTGAGAATAGAAGCTTGGAAAATATTGTTGGCGAATGTGGACTGGTTTGTGCGACTTGTTGACTTTTTTGTTTTGATGATGTTTAACAAACAATTACTACTAATGTTGTTTGTCTAGTGTTTGTATTTTTGTATTTATTATAGACAAACAATATGTTGGAGGTTTGATGGAATTGCGCTTCAATGATCATATCCAATGAAGGTTGGCGGAATAGTGGAGTGAAGCAATACAATAAGGAAGGACTAATAGAGTAATAGTATTCATTACTGGCAAAAAAAGTAAGTAATCCAGGAGGAAAAGGGGTTTTTCCCCATATATTAGTCCCTTAAATCTTGAATAATTGCATATGAGTCCCTCAAATATTATAGACTATTGCAAAGTGGTCCCCTTTAGTTAACTAATGTTAGATTTGAGGGGAATATTTTCTTAAATCTAACAGTTGGAGGCGAAGCGACTTTTTTTACCCCTTTATTAAATCCAGCAATGCATTTACTAATGGGTAAACATGAATACCTATTTCAAATAAAACTCAAATTCCACTTGATTTCTCTTCCTTGGCGATTAGAGAAGAAGCCTGACCTAAAGTGCTTCACAATAAACCTAATCCTCTTAAATTTCTCCTCCAACCTATCTATAATCTTCTCCTCCAATGTTTAAAATGATATAAAGGATTTTTAATATTCATAGATATTGGATTATGAGTTAACCAATGATACGGGTGTATCTTATCTGCTTCGGAAACTTAGTGATCCTCATGGGAGCTTAATGATAGATGATTCTCATGATAACTTGAGAATAAAGGCTTGGAAAATATTGTTGGTGAACACGGACTGGTTTGTGCGACTGTAATTTCAAAGCTGG